TGCGGTGGGCACAGCACGTTCTCAGCCCACCCACGCGCGTCTGGCCGTGTCGGGCCCTGACGCGGAACTGGCCAAAAGATGCAGTGGTGTCCACACCTGGGTTTGGAGAGTGGAGGACCCACCCCAAAAGCCCCAGCTTTTATCAACAGGCTCATGGTCCCCACGGGTGAAGGGGGTCCGTGCAGGAGGTCCCCTCCCAGCCCCGCATCGTCCCGGTTAGAGGGTCCCGTGGCCCCGGTCCCCACAGGGGACATCCCGGGAGGCCCACGGGGTCTGGTGAGAACTGACATGGGGAGGACATGGGGAGCGGGGTCCGGTGGCCACCGTCCCAGTGCTGCCATCCCTGGGCACGGTGCGGGGGATGCCAAGGACAGGGTCTGTCCCCACCTCGTGGTGGGGACAAACCTCCGGCGTCCCGGCCGGGCTGGATGACACCGGCAATACTGCGTCCTGCCGAGAGTGGCCCTGGCCGGGAACGGAGGTGACACCCACGGCTGAGCCTCCCTGGCAGCGGAGGGACCCCCCACCGGCCCCCCAGCCCGTGTTCTGCTCCCCTTGTAAAGGCCAGAAATAAAAAAGCAATTCTACTTTTGTAAGATAATTGTGTATCTGGCAGTTTTTCTGTAAAGATGGTCCAGCCAGTCTCCATCCATCTTCTTCCCCCTCCATGCGGCCACAGCAGGATGGGACCCCCGGTGCGAGTGGGGGGTCTGTCCCCGCTGTCCCTGCAGAGTGCTGCCGGGTGCTGGCGTGGGATTCCCATGGTGAGCAGATGCCACCAGGAGGGTCTGCTGGTGTCTCAGGGACATCACGGGTGACACAACTCACTCGTGCCACAGGGTCCCGGCTCTGCTGCTGGCGGGTGCACCCCATTTTTAAGGGTGGCCCCAGGACTTGCACCGGTGTTTCTCCAGCCGAAGCACCAGCACCAGCGCTACCGGGGTGGACGTGAGCCCTGACGACCAGTCTGGGGCCACCAACTCAACTGCGCGTGATGCTGGGGACACACTGGCGCTGGGGACACAGAGCTTGGGGCACCTCCTCGAGGTTCACAGGTGTCTCCCATGACATGCTGAGGTCTTCTGCTGGGAGCAGGTGACAAATCCCACCATCTGCAGATGGCAGGATGGAAAAGCCCCTTCCGAGGCAGGAGGTCGGCCGCACAGCCCACCTGGGATGGTGTCCCCTGTGGGGACATGCTCCGTGTCCCTCTGTGCCCATGTCACCAGGTCAACCTACACAGAGGGGGCTGTGATGGGGTTTTGGGACCGTCCGAGACAGGCCGGG